CACACACACACGTCTTTTGAAATGTATGTACAGTAGCGTGATAATTATCTGAAAAAATCTTTGCCTTCCAGTAAATAGCACTTTAATATAATAAAGATTGTAAAGATGCTAATTATGAAATAATTATCATTACCTGCATTATCTTAATCGTAAGACTCTCTTTCTGCCTACGAGTCCGTCGGAGTGGATACCACCCTCTTAAACATTTCTTATGCCATGTCCATGGACTGCAGTGGCCTCTTACCGTCAGGTGGATTGAAATAGTGGTCTGTTCAAACATGTCTTCGAAATATTTTTATTCTAGTTCTCCAGCATGTCTAAGGAATAAAAATAATTTTTAAGAGGTTTTCCTGTCGAGTACGTGGTTTACCATTTTTGACTAATTATTATCAGCACATAAATTTGCAAATAAAATCTTCATGCGTGACGGCTGGGATCAAATCCTGGCGTACTGCAAAATTTATGGCGAGTACTTATCCCATGAGCTACAAGACCCTGGGCTACCTTATTTACATATGTAAGAGGCCGGAGAAAAAATTTCTTCGTATTTTGTTAATATACATTTGAAGAAAAATCTCTTTGGTTGTATTTTTTTATCTGGCAGATTTTATATCAATACCTATGGGATATTAAGAAAAAGAAAAATAAAAAGTAATAAATGCTCTTCCGTCCGCTGAATTGAGTGATTATAACGAATAAGTTCGATACATTCTAAAGTTCAATTAAAAAAAGCAAAAAATGCTACTCAAGCCGCGTAATAAATCAAATTAATAAGGATAAAGTCGATGCCATTTTTTAAAAAGTGGAGCAAGATTGGTATTTTAATAGTAACTACGAGTATATAACCGAGGAATTTTGATTGGCCACAAAACAGTTTTGACCTATTTTAAAAAGTCTGGCCATACAAAAGAGCTCAATATTTGGATATCACACGAGCACACTGAAAGAATCCTAATGAATCGTGTACATTTGCAATTCTCTATTGAAACGTAATGAAACCATACCAATTTTGAAAAGATTAATCACTTGTGATGAAAAGTGGATTACTTACGACAATAACGTGCGAAAAAGATCATGGTAAAAGGGTAGTGAAGCTCCACAAACTGTACCCAAACCCGGATCAACACGTAATAAGGAGATGATGTGTGTATGGTAATGATTGGAAGGGCATCGTTTAATAAAAGCTTTTACTGCCGAGTAAAACCATCGATTCGAATCCCTACTGCCAACAACTTATGAGACTCAAGCAAGAAATTGATAAAAAACGGCCAGAATTGATCAACAGAAAAGGAGTAGTAAAGACCACATGATAATGCCAGACCACATACATCTTTGGCCACTCAGCAAAAATTAAGAGAGCTTGGTTGGGAAGTATCAATACTGCCACCAATAAACCACCATATAGTCCTGACCTTGCACCCTCAAATTTTTTCCATTTTTTATTTTCAGAATTCTTTGGGTAGTATTAGGTTATCATGAAGAGATGACTGTCAAAACTACTTGTCGCATTTTTTGATCAAAAATCCCAAGATTTCTACAGCAACGAGTTTATGTCACCAGCTACAAGACGGCAATAAGTTATCGCACAAAATGGCACATACATAGTATAATTAAATGTAATTAAATTTTGGAAAAAAATAAAGAAACTTTTTCTCCGACTTTTTATATATATTTGGCCGTGAAATAAAAAGAGAAGATCTCCACCGGGCAAGGTGTTCAGGTCGGGGAGCGGCCAATGCTTTGAGTGATAGTTCAGAGTTTATATATATATATACACTGCTTTTACCTCAGAACTTTGATAGCGCGATTTAGTCTTCGATAGGTTTGGCTTGAGGTGCGATGAGAGCGCCACCACATCACCCCCTGCTCAGACCGGCGGTTGATAGTGCAGTCCGATTACGTATGCATCCTTAATTCCGGTGGGGTATGCATCCTTTGTGCGTAAGTGCAAGTGACGCCGGTGCAAACGATACGCCGGTGTGTAATAAGTGTCCTACTACGCACTTGCAAGTGATGCCGGTGAGAAAGATGGAAAGGAGCAAGTGCCGGAAGTTTGCCTTATAAATCTGCGGTGAGTCGAGATGAAGACAAGTTGGATTAGCTTGCAGGAACTGAAGACTGCAGGAGACGATTCTCGGAAGTGAGTAATAGAGGTTTTTGATAATAATGACAAAATATTGAATTTAATCGTTTCCGAAGTTTAAGGTACCACGTAGTACCAGTAGTTATCACGTCGGTTAGTAACAAATTCAGCCGTGAAAAGAAAAGGGGAGATCTCTCACCTGGTAAGATGTTCAGCCTGGGGAGCGACGAATGCTCCGAGAGGTAGTTCGGAAATGTTCAACAACTTTTCTTGACCATTTGCCTGCATTACCTAATCTGAACCATTATATATAATTCTATACTAATGCTTTGGTCGGTTTTTTTATTAAAATAACATTTTTGCTTACTTATATATAGTCCGGTCTAATTTGACCAGAAAATAAGAGTGAAGATACATAAAGTTACAACAAGCTGATAATTAGAAAAATTGTTTCAAATATAATTATAAATAAAATTTTGAAGTTCTCCGCCATTCCTATGTATGGAAAAATTTTACTCAAAATCGGGTATTTTTATGATAAAACTTACTGTTTTGCTGAATATATATATATATATATATATATATATATATATATATATATATATATATAGATATATATATCATGTATACGTTTATATCCGTGGTAGCTCAGATGGTTACTGTAAATATAACAGAACGCGAGTAACCCGGGTTCGATCCCCGTCGGCACCAATGAAATTGTTAATTTCAATTTTAAGTGCTGATTTGTCACGTGCTCGGCGGTGAAGGAAAAAATCCTGAGGAAACCTGCATGTCTGTAGAATAAGAAACAAAATATTTCGAAGACATGTGAAGTTCGCCAACACGCATTTGTGCAGCGCGGCGGACACTTCCTTGCCCTAAAACCCTCTCAGAAATGAGGGGAGGCCTGTGCCCAGCGGTGGGACATATATAGGCTAGCTTCTACTTTTATTTCATATTATCCAAAATTGAATGTGATTTATAGCTAACGATGATTTTGATCCGATCGAACCTTACGAATGTGTGCGTGCGCAGTAAAATCAGTAAAAATACATTACCACGCATTTTACTTTAAAAAATAAAAAGGGCAGAATGTGTGAGATTTTTTTAAATAACTTTTCTTCACCAATTCCCTACATTACCTTATCTGAACTTTTATATATTATAATTCTATAAAGCTAATTATCAGCTCGTTGTAACTTTATGTATCACCGAATGTCTACATTGATCGGAATAATAAAAAGGTGATCGCAATATTGATCACAAAACGCTATATAATGAAACAATATTTTAAGATGAAATATTTATATAAGAGCATTGAACTTCAACTAAGTTTAACAAAGTTTGGAGAATATTCTTTAGAACTTGGATCGGATCGAATATCGATTACGATTCAATTTCTACATCGGCTCTTTTAAATGAATTCTAATAATTATTTTTGGATATCCCATATATTTAATAATATAGAATACATGAAAATGTACTCAAAAATATTTATAAGATTATTACGTTTACATAAACCATTTTTCCCGCGAATCAGAGGTGGCGCAAGGCGTGGGCGACGAGGGCGACCGCTTACGACCTCGCGGCCAGAAGGGCCTCGCTAGCCGAAAGATCAATGAATTCTCATTTCATAAAAATATTAAGCTAGAACGATTAAAAGTTAATACATTTGTTATATACTCTTATTTGCTCTCTGCAACTAAAATGCATACAGAAAGACATCCTAAATTTGTAGTTCACTTTTCAAAAAATTGGTCAAATAAAATTTGCTGCAATAAAGTGTCAAGTACATAGCGCGGAGAGTCCCATTCCATTTGCCTCACGCTAAGCTTACTCGTGTCAGGTGTTGCTGAGTCTGTTAGATTGTCGCAGGTTACTACGTGCAGTTGCGGTGTTAGAATATCCACTACCTCCATCTAGTGTCGTAAGAGGCGATAGAAGACTAAAAATAAAAAACTGTGGTTTTCGCTTACCAATTCGCTTACCAAGCGTAGCCACTATGGCAAATATCTCCCCTATGATGAAATCTGTGGGGGAGGCCTATGTTCAGCAGTGGACTTTAATAGGCTGCACCAGTTACGGGTTACCATGCAATGGGCACCTTGTTTTCCCCAATTAACAATTCGTCAATGTTGGTTCTAGTGCAAAGCTGTAATTTATCCCATATGTTCGTGTGATTGACGAAGCAGAACAACCTGTAGATGTCGTGTTAGACAGTATTTATTAAAATAAAAAGCTCCGCTTAGTCAGAGTGGCTGTAATCCTCTGGCTATAGAAAAAAAATCAACATACTTTTTTCAGTGATATAGCCACACAGCAGCTTTTGCTGTCGTACGGATGGGCCGGATTAAATTGGGGTGGTATCACGACCTAACAGAATACAGGTGTGCAGGTGGCCGGAGGCCCAATTCCCCCCCTCCCTCAACATGGTAGCGGAATCAAATAAAAAAACTTCCCCAGGAGGGTACCAGTTTCCATGGTATCGGAAAATCCCTCGCTGAGCCTCCACGCCCAAGAGCATATCGCCATCACCACCTTGTTCTCCAAAATAATGGAATTCATTGTAAGCTGCCAGCTCATGAGGTACCTTGAGGAACAACAGCTGATTAATGACCGCCAATACGGTTTTCGTCGTTGTCGATCAGCTAATGATCTTATGTTCTACCTAACTCATAGATGAGCGGAAACATGGGGTTTTTGTTCTCCAAGAGTCCGGAGAAATATTAGGATAGTGCATGCTGCGTCCCTTCCCCGCTGCCCCCGCATGACATTTCTTCCGCGTCCTGTGCGAATAATGTTTTTGTAATTGAAGGTAAACAACTCAGTGCAAAGTTTTATTTGTCATCGGAGTGCGCCCTAAATGGTCACGTAATATTCCAGTTTATTGTTATTTATATCAAAGCTATAAATGAACATGTTGTTTGACGAATTGGATCTAACTTTAGATGATTTTCGTGAAGTAGAACATATTGAATCCCAATTTCGTGAGACGGAGAGTCATTCAAGTGATAATGTAGAGGTTATTCGGTTTTCAAATCGCCGTGCAAGGAAAAGCTGCATAGTGCCATCTGATACTGAAGACGAAGAAGTCCTTGTACCCTCACCGTCAGAGTCTGGTTACATTCCAAATACGGAATGGCATGAACCACAAGGTAAAAAACCTAAGGTAATAACTTACACTGAAATTTCTGGTTTGAAGCCGATGCATTTGCGACACGCTTTAGCTGGCGGTCAACCTGGTGATTTTTATAATTTGATGGTACCAGAGGCTCTGTTAGAAGATATAGCTAGACAGACCAATATTTTTGCCGCGCAAGTTTTATCTAAAAGTCGATTATCGCGGCAATCCAGGCTACACTTGTGGAAGGACACTGATAAAACAGAAATCAAGAAGTTTTTTGGTCTTATAATTTGGATGGGTTTGGTGAAATTACCAAAACTGGCACTATATTGGCCTAATAACCCAATGTACGCACAACCGTTCGCTAAAAATATTATGAGCCGCAACAGGTTTGAAATATTACTGAGGATGTTGCATTTTTCTAATAACGAGGAGGCTCGTGAAAATGATCGTATATTGCTTACCACTATAAACCTAATGAATATATGTGTGTGGATGAGAGCATGATTCCATTTCGTGGTAGAGTAATCTTTAGACAACATAATAAGCAAAAACGCCATAAATATGGTATCAAACTATTTAAATTATGTACTGTTCCCGGATACACTTGGAAAATTGAGGTTTATTCTGGAAAACAACTCGATTCTGATTTTTCTACACCGACAAATGTGGTGCTCAGACTGTGGTGAGGATTTACTAGGAAAGGACTATTCTGTATTTGTAGACAATTGGTACACAAGTTTGGATTTGGCAGAAAAGTTAATTGACAATGAGACACATCTTATTGGTACTCTACGCAAAAACATAAAGTACTTACCGAAATACGTGATGGAAGCCCAATCAAAGCCTGGTGAGTTTGCAGCCAAAGAAAACAGTAAGGGAATTACAGTTATGAAATGGAGGGACAAACGTGAAGTTTGTCTACTGTCAACTAAACACTCTATAGGATTTATAAAAACTAAAAATAAGAGAGGAATAGAGGTGATTAAGCCGAAGATAATCTTGATGGATTATAATAAAGCTAAGGCAGCAGTAGACCTCTCGGATCAAATGACAGCGTATTCTTCTCCGCTTCGAAAGTCTATCAAGTGGTACAAGAAGTTGGCCTTAGAACTGCTTCTAAACACAGCTGTAGTAAATGCTCGGGTTTTATATGAAGCTACAACAAAAAAGAAGATACCTATTATTGAATTTAGACGAAAACTGTCACAACAAATGATTGACTCAAACCCACGTGATGGAGCTAACATTCCATGTAGGCCAAAGAGAATAAAACATTCTCTTGTAAAAGCAGACGGAAAGGCTGCGACGACAAGAAAATTTTGTGTAGGTTGTTCGAAATTAATTCACAAACGCATGGAAGAAAAATTGCCAAAAACAAAACCAAAAAGGTTACGACATTTTGTTCAGTTTGCCCAGACAAGCCATATTTGTGCAGATTGTTTTGATAAAAAACATTAATTTTCTGTTTGTTTTTTAATTTTAAATTACTTTGATCTCAACACAAAATAATGTGTCTCTAAATAACACTAGTCTTTGATTTATAATAATAAAAATATTTTAAAAAGTATACTGTCTTTAATTTACATCATAATTTTGTTTGACTGGCTACAAAAACATTCATACCACCAAAAAATTATAAAAATATTTTGAGGCCAAGTTATCTAAAGTGATCATTGGGGCCGCGCCGGCCACTTGTAATGGTATTTTACGTCACACGCATGGCCGACAGCGAGCAAAAGGTGTTCAAGTTCACCTTAGTTGTGCCGGTCATTTAAGCCCCCCATGGCCCCAATGCTTCTACCAAGTGCCGGTCACTTTGACCCCCCATGGCAGCCAACGTGTTAACGCTGGTGTTCTACAAGGCTGCGTGCTATCACCACGCTGTTTCTTCTGCATATTATTGATATGTTGCAAACTGGTAACATTTATTGCTATGTAGGCGACAGCACTAGTGATGCTTTATACATCGGCCGTGCCAATATTTCTCGGCAGTTGAACGCATACAGCACGGAACACTAACACCCTAGGGTTTATAGGCTGTAATTCAATATTTAAACATTTCTTTATATTGGACCTTTGCAATAGCAATTTGTTGGCAAGGTAAAGAAATCCATATAAAAATCATAACTGGCGAGTAGGGGAAAGACAAAAAATATCTGATCGTTCGAGAGAAGTCTTTACATATTATTTTTGGGTATTAAATGTTATTGCTTCGTTAAAAGATACGTAGTAGATCAGAATTACCCATAACTATTGTGTACTGAGTACTGTAGTCACCAATCCGTATATCAAGCGATTGCGATTAATTTTTTCAGCAATTGTCCAATATGGAATAAACCTACTCTAACTCTAAAGAAACCTACTCTAACTTCCTGTCTACGAATGTTTAAAAAAATATTAGTACTAAATTTTTAAACGCATCTGAAGTACTTTAGGCTAATTTAAATACATACACAGCAGTAAAATACTAAGCGAAGTTCAATGATTTATAAAGCTGCATACAGAATATTTAAATTATTAAAATGTGTTAACTATCTATGTACAAAAACATCATATTTGGCAATCGTTGGAAAATTTTCATTTTTACGAACGATATTTGTTATCAATTTAATATCTCTTTTCATCGAACTGATGTATTTATTTAATATCATTTGGAATATTTTTAATCGTATCTATATCTTTAGATCTTTTCCTGTCTACTTGTATTAAATGAACTACAATAGATCTATTTTTTTTTTGCATGTAAAAAGTTGTAGTGCCTTAACGCCATCAGTAATTTCATCAATATCGCTATCAACGTTTGTGATTGATATTCCGAAACGAGTTTTTTTATCGGTCGACTCGATCGGAGATTAGAAGGCTACGGTTTCACAGAATACCAGCGTGAAATAGAAGCATAATGCTGCTGTTTTTCGTATGGTGATTCATACATTCAACGGTAGTCTTCATGGGTTCCTATACGATACTTTAGACATAAAACAACCGTGATGATAAACGTGCCTGCGCATGCCAAGCATGACGAATAAGACAAATCCTAAATAAGACTAATGAGATGCGCCTATTTCAAGCCGTAGACTTTTCCGGGTTAATGATAATAATGATGAATATTCATGTCAGTTATATATCATACCTAGAAATATTTCATTAAAATCAATTTATCATTTTTATAAAATAAATAGATATTTATAATTGAAAGTTCCTAATTCAAGCACTTTATTTAACACTTGAATTTTACCACACAATAGCTTAGACCATTCGAGGTCTAAGCATAGTAATATCCTACTAAAAACCAGTGTTACAGCATTTCATGATTTAGCACGTGATGAGTGATGTACTTTTTGGTGGATATTGTTCTAACTTTTTCTTTTTATTCGTTCGTTACCGTAGTTTTTTAGCGATTTGCTATTATTAGTTTTAATAAATAAGAATATTTAAATCAATTGAAATTATTTCCTATTTTTTTTTCTTTAAAAATACAAATCAAACATATTATAGTAATATTATTATGTATAGTACTATTAAAACATATAAAATAAAACTTAGTTCATAATGAATAAAAATGTATAGTTAGTTATTTCTGTGAACTATAAATAGGGCACCTACCGTACCCTCAACACATAATAACGTTACACGCGCAAAGCTTCCTACGCTTACTGTAATATTTCCTTTTTATGCCTGACACAGGATGCTTGATTAAATTCCGTTCTGATGAATTATTTGTTCATTTGCGAAAACTTTACGTTTCTGTTAGATAGATGACATTCATTGTATTTAGAGTGGTCTAGTGCTTAGGCTAATAAAATAAGTTGAAGGGTTACAGCCTACAAACTTCCCCATTGCTGGGCATATTCCATTTCTAGTTTTTGAGGTCATGCTTCTTTCCTCCTCTTCGATCTATGCCAAAGTTAATAAATATATCAACGATTTCAACCAGGGCTCGCTTTTTAGATCACCTATGTCCGATGTAACACATAAGTTACTAGACCAAAGGTTCGCTGAGATTCAGCACTCTCAGAAGAAAATCGTTCCAAGGCCATGGCAACATAATTTTGGTTTTTTTTTTCACATTATATTTTTCGCTTTAGTCGGTGGATATTCGGTGGTAATAAATATATGAAAAACGCCTAAAACATTTTTGGTCGCGGTTTTCGCTTTCTTATCATAATCATTTTACTGCCCTAATGAAACTGCGGTTAAATAAGGCGGGGAAGGCCTGTGTAATTATAATGAATGAGACCTATGATACTGTTTAGACATTTTTAAGCTTTCTAAATCCATATCTCTTCATTCATAGCATGCTCAATGTTTTTAATCACCGCAATTACACCTTGTCTGACACAAAATGAACAGGAAACACCGTAATTTTCTCTCAATATCCGATACGAAAATATCGCTGCACGTAACTACCCTGTCAAGCATGTTAGTATATAATATTAGTTGTGGAACGTATAACGATTGCGACGCAATTTTCGGTGGCAATTTTTTAAAACTATTTTACGCGATATTTTTCAGGCAATGAACATTGTTTGATTTTAATTGATGAGCACGTGGTAAATCAGCACTTAAAATTGCAATCATTGCTCTGAGCTACCACGGCTTTAGCAAAAAAATTATTCATGATGTAAATTAAGAAACTGCGTAATAGAAAAGCTTTTCAATCCCCAGTTTTATGAAAATAACGCAATTTAAATATCTTTTAAGCGTAGTATATTAATAAAACGGCCGAGGCGGCAAGGGGCACCATAAATGGAAGTTAATCGACCAAATTGGCGATATATTGTAGATGGACTAAATTAAGAGAGCCATGCGTAAATATGTGATGTGATGTGAAAGAATTGATCTAGGTGTTTTTATAACAGGGAAGAACAGGCATGCAACTAACCTGATGGTAAGTGTCGACCGCCACTCACGAACAACTACAACTTCCAGAAATTATGCTCCTTTTTTAAAAGTGCTTAAGTCGTATCGGTCCGGAAAAATCGCTGGTGGTATATATCACAATGAAAACGTGTAAGGAAAAAAATCAATGTCGTTTTTTTTGAGCAAAAAAATTACAGATCACCATCATGATCATCATCATCAGCCCTTTTATTAGTTGTTTGGATATTGGTATCTCGTATATTAGGAATAATTTGCCCCAGCCATCACGTTTAGCATGTAGAGCGGTGATAGATGTATCATATCCTACGTACGGTATACACTGTTCTAAGTCGAGGGTTTGAATATGTATATTATAGACCACAGCACAATAGTAATTATTAGCTATTCGTCATTATTTAATAGACAATAATAACATGCGTTTATTTCCCACGTCTATTAAGATACGTATGTCGTGACGCTTCGACCGCATAACGAAGGTATAATATTTATTAAATATGTATTATCATTAGGAGAAATAATTAAATATTAAAGTTCTATATAATATGTATATTATTACCTGGGTAACTGACCTTGGCTAAAGGATATAAAAGAAAATTATAATTTTCTCAGGGACATCAACTACTCGTAAATTGAATATTTGATCAAAATCGTTAGACACGTTTCCGGAAGCAATATCAAATAATTGTTAACTTAAAGTACTACTACTGTAAACTACTAAGAAATCATCGTAGCTCCTTATACTTTACTTTTTTTACCTCCCCTCTTAGGAGCCACAGACAAAAAGAAACAAACCAGGAGATGGGCATCACCCTTTTCCTATTTTCAACGAAAACGAAAGAAATGCGGTTGACAACATGCCATACTATGGTGAATATCCCTCTATGAGGCAATCTATGGAAAGTCACAGCGGTGGACTTTAGACAGGCTGTAAGGAAGCAGTGAAGAAAAGCTAAGTCAAGCAGTCAGAAGACAGCAGACAGTATCAGGATTGCAGCAGCGAAGTAGTACTGAAGCAATAACGTATCATGAGGCAGCAGAGAAGCAGCAGAGAAGCAGCAGAGAGATAGCAGAGAGGCAGCAAAGAGGCAGCTGCGAAGTATCAGCGAAAGAAACACCGAAAGCGACGGCGACAGCGAAAGCGAAAGCCACGAGTTGACAGAACGTGTGACAACGGTAAACCTCTAAAAGCTTTATTTGCGCCGCGATTATATCTTACGAAATTCTAATAGGATGGCGAAATTCACAGTTCAAATCAATCCCCATACTAGTCTGTAAGCTTTTGTTATCCCAAACTTGTTTGATTCAGCCCGAACTCTTGAATTTCAGCCGTGGTGGTTCAGGAACTATCCTCTCAGGCACCGATGATTTTGTTGATTTCAATTTTAAGTGCTGATATAACACGTACCCATTACCCATTGCAGTCTGGAAAAGTCCACTGCTAAACATAGGCCTCCCCTATAGATTGCCCCGTAGTGCCCCGCTTGGCAGGTGAGTTTGCAAACGCAGTTTTTTATTTTTATTCGGCATATATCAGGAAATGCTGCTGTTCATCTCCTGTTTCAGGAACCCTCCCTGTATATCTTAGAAATAAAATATTTCTAGGTCATTAGACACGGAAGCAACGCGGCTGAATTATCGCCCCATATGCCTCTTAGAAATGAGAAGCGGCCCTTGATCACAGCACTGGAATATAAATAGGGTGTTACTTTACTATCAGAAGTGATTATTTTGTATAAGTGTCAGTGTCAGTGCCTCACACATACATTAGAATTGATTTTATTACGATCTCATAGATTTTAAAATATGTAGATCTCAGTACTGCTATTAAAAAGCATGAACACATGAAATAAAATAAGCCTTGTTATTAAATGGCGTATTATATAACGTTTAAAAAGCAAGCTATGTTCCGTTCTGCGCTTTATTCATTCCTGCCTATAAAAAGTTCACTGCTAAACATAGACCTCACTATTTGAACTTTACCTCTTTTATAATTTTCAGCTGTAATCAGCCAGATGCTTTCTTTTTTTATAGAATACGGTGACTAACGAGCACACAGTCTACCTGGTGGTAAGTGCATGCTGTGGCCCATAGACATCTACATTTATCCCCGATTAAGAATCAAAATGCAAATGCAATGTCACCCGTGAGGACTCAGATCAAATGTCTCGTTTCCAGTAAAAGGGGTGTCTGGTTCTCCACACTCACCATATGAAACACAGCATCATTGAGATGTCATTTTACGTTAATTTTCTGTGAAAGCGTGGTCCTACCCCGCTTGAGCGGACCTATTCGTGCTACAACTATCACATAGTTACAGCGTGGCTCTACCACTTAAACATGCTCGTGCCCATATTCTATTTTAGTTTTCCTCATTGTTAGTAGCAATTGTAAATGCTGATTTACCACGTGCCCGGCGGCGAAGGAAAACATCGTGAAGAAACCTGGATGTCTGAGAAATAAGACAAAAATATTTCGAAGAGGACACTTACTTACTCTAAAACCCTCTCAGAAATGAGGGACTGTGCCCAGAAGTGGGACGTATATAGGCTGTAACTTCAACTTTAACTTTCACGACACCCATGAGATGATATAGAATAGTGGATTCTCTTACGCTGTCATTATACAGCATTTTACAAGCGCCTTCACATTAAACGCAGGCAATTTTGCGTCATGACAGCATGTGCTAATTTATAGCTCGAATTTCGAAGTGAAGGAAGTCAAAGTGAACATTTACTGACACACTCACAGTGATCTGAACAAAAATAAAAAGCAAGAAAAATGATTTCTTATATTTACGCGAACACTACACATTGAAATAATACTAGTTTTTTACGGAATTTATCGCGTATAACTTACTAATAAATATAACTTTTTAAATACCCGACGTTTCGAACGCTTTACAGCACTCATGGTCACGGGCGGGACTGAGAGGTTCAACGTCCATATGTCATAGTTAACCGCGGTTACCATAGATTAAAATTTAACTTTTGTTCCGATCTATACAGTATGAACTTATGGTATCTTGAAGTCTTGCAGTTGTATGCTTGGGTTGGGATTTAATTTTATTTATTATAGGATCCCAAGCAGATGGTAGCACCCAGCCATCTTCTCTATTGAAATTAGGATGTTTTTTGATTTCAATAGCCTCGCGAATCATCCTTGTAAGGAAGGAAAAAAAATACGAAAAAAATTGTTTCATTCGATTTAACGAGTTGATTTTATTTAAGGTGATAGATAATAAAACATGAATAAATAAATTATTTAATAAATCAACATCATAACTACATCTTATCACACTGATAAACACAAATTGCACGCGCACAGGTAAATAAAAGGCGCAAGTACTGGAGGAAAAGTAAAAACAACACCGCTGAAAAAGAAAGTAATTATTTCTTTAAATAAAAATCAATTGCTGCCCATTAGTCTCGTTGGAACTTGAAACTGGCTTGACCGATTCTGATAAAATTTTGTGTGTATGTTTGAGTGGGCCCTGAATGGTTCAGATTTACAATCGCACCCGGTAGACGGCGCTGTTGTCGAGTTCGAAGCCAGAGCGGGTCGCTAGTCTTTAATAATAATATTTAAAACTTGAACTAAACGTTAGGTCGTCATTCCATCGTTATTGTAGTTTAATTAAAAAGCTAAAAATATGTTAGTTTTCGAAATTGATATGTAAATAAACTATATTAATATTATCATTAAAGAGGGGTCTACTTTCAAAATTCACTAAAATGTTTTTTAATAAATATTGTGAAAATAAAAATTTTAGTTAATGATGGGCTTTAGGAAAAAAACGTTCATGTTACAATTTATTTTTAGGTATTATTCGTGTGGCAACACTTTGGCCATGTTTTAATTCAAAAATGGCATTAATTAGGGAAATATAACTAAAAATTAAATTCACTTAGAGGGTTTTGATATGCACTATTCATTATGCGGAGTTTGAAACTGACATGTTTTATTTTGGCGGGTTTTGATCCGAACAATTTTTTGGCATTAATGGTTTTATTCAAAATGAACACCATTATAAGACGAATGAAATGTAGGATTCATGAAATGAAATACGTAGTTACCAAAAAATCAAGTGTTTATTATTAGTATTATTCTAGCTAGTGACAATAAAAGTAAGTACAATTAAATATGCGAATAGTTATCCTCAAACCCATGTTCACAATTTTCGTCTTCAGACACGTTATTTTCAAAAATATTGTTAGTAGGTGACAATCATTCTTCGATACTTTTATAATACTCCAATTCCGGTACATTTCGCCAATCGCTTCCAAAGTGTTTTTCCAGAAGTTTTATTACATCATTTACTTTGGCGCTTTTCGATGTAAAAGTGTGAGGTAAAACTATTCTCGGGTTTATCATTGTATTTATTTCGTTATTAATATTTTTTTATTAATTTCGCTTTTATAGTGCATCTTACCTTGAACAAAAATATTTTCTGTTTTTGTTCTGGATAAAAAAAATCGCTTCGAATTCATAAAAGGAAAATTTCATGAAGTTATTGGCTTTATGATTGGCGCGTAACTAGTCTTCCAGTCATATACCGGAATAGAAGAAAGTTCAGTGACAGTTGCGTGTTCTTTAAGTACATAATGCGCTTTAGATACATAATGCGCTGGAGAAGTCACTACCTCCTTTTTCTTGAGTTCTTTTTCTATTTTCGCAAAGATGCGATCAGGTGGTATAAAAGAATGGCCCACAACCGGAAATATTATTTAAATTTTTTTGATATGTCGTGATGCTTCGCAGTAAAGCCACTTACCCAACATAACTAACATTCCAGTATTCTTATTTTGACCAGAACAACCGTCACACACTACACGGAGGACTTTAATTCGCTCATCGAATGTCACTTGTTGCAGGTAATGGTATACGGCACTAATAATTTCATTACTGCCTTTGTTGTGACTAGTCTCTGTTCAAAAATAAGAATAAACATTTTCTTTGTTTAATTTTGCTTTAGAATTACCTCCTACTATAGCAAAATGATAAAAGCTGAACTGCCTGCTATAATAGACGGATTGATCGGGAAGCTTAGGTAAAGCTTGATTTTTTTGACAATCAAAAGTAATCGTTTTCAGAAAATCCGCATCTTCCTGAATGATTTTATAGAAGCCTTGGTATTTCAATCTGTGAATTCTTTTTTCGGTGATTAGTTGGTTTTTGTTTCTAAGATCAGTCTCAGCTTTCATCTGCTCTTGTAATGAAATACAAGTAGAACAAACGTCTGTCCTTGGTGACCCAAAACCAATATTATAATCTGTACAAAATATTTTTCTAAAGAAACTTTGCTTTACTTTCAAGTCATATTCACGTTCTGAGTTATACATACGCCATATCTTTCTTATATTCAGCTCGGGTGGAAGATATAATCTTTTTGTATCTGTGCGACAATAATGGCTTTCTTGAGCTTTGAACTTTTCTATAAACCATTGCACAGACAGTCGTTTTGCTTCATAATTCATGGATTTCCGATCATCGCCACGTCTTTCTACTGCCTGAGCACCTCCGGATGTATAAAATCTATTAATGACTCCCTTCACTCTGTCAACATTAACCAAAAGAGCGCCTTAAAAAAGTTTTTTGACACACAGGTATCAATCGAGCATCTTTATTTATATTATGGTATTTTTCCGAAATTTTCCTTCTGCTAAAATGACATTTGTTTTTTTGCTTTATTTACCGTGCAGTACTTTAGGATGAAATTATCTTGAGATATCTTGGTTTTGCATTTGTAGAAATTTTCATGAAACCTTCTTATGTCTTGCGCTGTCAATTTATCACATTTGAACGCTTTTTTGTCATGGCCACATCGAGGAAATATTGGCAATCCTTTGCTTTTATATCTGAAACAATAGTGTTATTGTTGAAGCACCACACCAGCTTTTCATAAACATTGCATTCATTGTAGTACATCGTAGAGTATTTTTCAATATTTGCTTTATGTTTTTGTACCAAAAATCTGCACAGGCATTACCTATCTCTAAAGCATGTTTATAGGACAAATAGATTCCTACACATACACACAAACACACATGCACAAATAGATACCATTTTCATCATCACCATTACAGCCCTTCACAAGTCCACTGCTGAACATAAGCCTCCCCAATATATGCCAATTCACTATAACATAATTCCTAATTCTTAAAAAAATACTGTAGTAAAATTATAATAATTTTAAGGTTTCAAATAAAACTATGCCCCAAACAAACACGTCAAATTTAAAGCAAATTTGTTAGTATTCGTCCCGATTTATTAAAATGTGTTATTTATACAAGCAAGAAAGAGCACGAGATTTGTCTTTAAGTACGCCAGTGGTAGCTCAGATCGTTAGCGCTCGCTGTAAATTTCACAATACGCGAGCAAACCGGGTTCGATCCCCGCCGGCACCAGAAATTGTTGATTGCAATTTTAAGTGCTGATTTACCACGTGCTCGGCGGTGAAGGAAAACATCGTGAGGAAACCTGCATGTCTGAGAAATAAGAAAAAAATACTTCGAAGGCATGTGAAGTTTGCCAACATGCATTGGGGCAGCGTGGCGGACTATTCCTTGCCCTAAAACCCTCTCAGAAATGAGAGGAGGCCTGTGCCCAGCAGTGGGACGTATATAGGCTGTAACTTTACTTTACTTTACTTTTACGGCAGTTAGTACCTAAACCAAATTCAAACTGGATTAGTTCGACAATCCAACATTTTGCAAAATATCACATTCGAAGCAGTGACACGGTCAATTTCATTTTAAAATCACCAAAAACAAAATTTATATTATACACAATGGTTAAATATTGTATCGTAATTTAAAACTTAAACCTTAGACTTATATGAAAAACTGGACATATATAAATTGATAATGATAAACGTCACCGGACTCATACGGTCTGAAACTATATATACGTAATTCATTCTACCTGGCTTCATTCTGCATAACATCACTATGAGACAGTATTGTTACTTTCATACTGGTTTTAAACATACCGTTTTATTTGCACCGCCTTACGTTTCCACTTTGTCGTATCACTTTTTCTTTTTCTTGATTTTTTTGGATCACATTTTTCAATGTTTGATAACATTTCCTCCATTTTAAAACGGTAAAAACTAATTAAATCCCCGCATGGATCTTCACTGACTTGGACGCAACGCCATACTGTTTTAAGCGTCACGTGATATGCATGCCGCGATGTGATTGGTTTTCGCAGTTTTAGCGGATTTTGAAACGCAACTGTGCAGTTTTAGTGGTGTATGCAACAAACATTGATTTTATTGGGTGATTTTTAAAGGATATGGTGGTTTTTAATAACAAATGATTGCTAGATATGAAAAGGAATACATCATAGTGTCTTTTAAAAGTATTAACAATAATTTCATGAAGAATCGTTTTAGTGGGTTTTGAAAGTACGCCCCTCTACATTTATTTATGAACCTTACGTATTATATTAAATATTGGTAATAATAAAAAATAATTAATACTATTATCATTTGTCACCCAACTTCAAAAATGGAGATTTTTTTCAAATCGACCCCTAACACAAACAACTTCTTTAAGCCCACTTTCATTCGTATCCATAGCAGTCTTGGGCTTACACATTCATACTCTTTCACACATTGGCCCATTCTTTTGAAAGGATGATACCTACTCCCTGGCATGCCCGCTCGATCTCGTCTACACCAGACCAGTATGCGGTATACATGCCATGTGCAGTGACATCCTTCCCCTTCCTTTTCGTCTCATTTACACATAATACATCTGTTCCTCTATCATACATCATATCGCATACTTCATCCATTTTATCATTCATTGCCCCACATACATTCAACGTAGCCAGACGGGCCTCTGCAATCCACTTTTCGCCTCTCTGGGAGACAGAACGTGACGGGTGGCGAACCTCGTCGCCGGTTTTTTATATTATTTGAATATAATTTAAAAATGTAACAAATTGTCTTCACATCCGTATTACGTAAATGTTATTATCTTCGTCAGAAATCATTATTTTATGTAATAGCAGAAATGTTTCGTGATTGACGAAGGTATGACAGTTAAGATATTAACTGTGTCAAATATAGGTGTATCATAATATTCTTGACAGTTCAGTTCTTTGTTCCTTGTTCGTTTTTGTTATCGTAACTAAAAATTTGATTTATGCTTGTGTGCCTTTGTTGTTATAAGATTCCTCGGTTGAGTAACAAGGAATTCTTCTAGTTTCGCCGTGTCCGTCCATCCTACCGACCGCGAGAAATTATCGCACTTCTTATGTTAGAAATTATTCTCAAAATTATTTAAACAAGTGGTAAAATTAACAATTTTGTACAGCCAACTTCAATACTACCGAATCAATATATTCGAATTCAATTAAATACGCATTATTATGGCTAGCTCAAAAACTGCTGGGCATATCTTGATCACATTTATATGGGACCACACAAGAAAAGAATCATCAAAATCGATTCACTGAGAAAAAAGTTCTGATGTAACACACAAAAAAACATACAGTCGAATAGAATACCTCCTTTTTGAAGTCGATAATAAAAGAACACTACTCGGTAACAATCCCTCCTTACTATCAGACTATATGAAAACCTCCTTACTATCAGAAACCGTTCTGAAGGCCAGTTGTCAAAATAACAATGGTGTGAGAGCGTATACTTAACATGCTGTCCCGCTCACGCAACCAAACATTATCAGCAACAAAACAGCGCATAAAAGTACGGACAGACGTGCTCATTACTAGCACGAAAGCATGCTTTTATTGAGCAAGTGCTCATTAGTAGCTCGTGTGTCGCACCATTGCTAGTAATGAGCATGCTTGTTTTGAGCATGCTCAAAAATCAACCGACGTTTGATTTTCGAGTATGCTACCTGAGGCGCGGGTAGAAGGACGTGCTCCGAGCGCGTCTTAACTTGAATTAAGCGACAGTAGCCTCATGGCAGGGCGCGGACCGCGAACTCAAAAAGGTCATGGGTTCGAAACCGCCATTCGACTACTGGCGTGAATCACAACTCGTAAGACAAGCAATTTAAGCTTACCACGAGTGGTTAAGGGGAATATTAGTAATGTTTATAGAATTGTTAATATTCTTTAAAAAAAACTGAACAATAAAACAATCCTGTTTATGAGCATGTTTTATCGAATCGATCTCGATTCGCGATTGTTGCTGCGTCAATTTAAAATAAAAAATTTGCCTTTTATTCTTACACCATTCGGTTGCAAGCTACATGATTATTTTATTAAGTTCTGTACGGATAGCACTGTCACTATATCTTTGTACATCCATTTCGGCCGAGAGCCTGGTGCCAAGTAGCACGTCTTATGCTTTAAGCGTGTTTATTGCCGGCAAATGTGTACAGTTGCAGAGCATGCTTATTTTAAGCAAGCTGATGACCATGCTTTTTTTTAAGCACGTCTGTACGTAACATTACAACATACCATAGTATAGAGTGTTGACACATTACACCATAGTATAGAGCAATACGGTCCGACCAACCGCAACACGTCGCCGCCATAATTACACAACGTTGTAACATGAAGGACATAATTACAATAACACCAAAGTATGCAAACCAACGGCAACATCTCACAGGGCAGCCTCTCAGCAATACGATCTTTCTTGCCAACACTAGCAGAATACCCCAACGGTCATAGTAACGACAGTGAAACTAGTAGAATTACCGACGAATCTCTCTTAGTCGCCGGAGCGATACACTGAACTGCTAAAATGAGTGGGAAATTACAGTTCTACCCTTATTTTTATATTTTCTTTTATTATTTTTACCCTCATTCCCAAAAATAGATATTAATCACGCCTCTAAAGATATGAAATAAAATTTTGTAATATTTTTATCATGGGTACCTCCCTTAACAGGTGATTTCATTTTACGGGTCTTTTTTTTTTCAGGAATACTGAGGGTAAGACAACATTTTTTCAATTAAGCGGTTTGTTTGCGAAATATAAAGTTTCAAATTGTTTTTTTTTTTGTAAACTATGAATTTCTTTGTACGAACTTGGCATAGTGAATAATAGCTTTTTAATTCTTTTTGAATACCGCTCCTTATACGATCGTTTGGCAAAAAAAAGTCTTTCAATTACCACCGTCCTATTTGGACCCATTTTAGTAGTTAGAGCAGTCAAACCCTTTTGACTTCAAGTAAAATAAAATAAAATTACAGCCTATATACGTCCCACTGCTGGGCATAGGCCTCCTCTCATTTCTGAGAGGGTTTTAGGGCAAAGGGATGTCCGCAGTGCTGCCCCAATGCGTATTCGTGAACTTCACGTCTTCGAAATATTTTTTTCTTCATATTTTCCGGACATGCTTTCCTCACGATGATTTATTTCACCATTGAGTACTTGATAAATCAGCACTTAAAATTGCAATTAACAATTTTATTGGTGCCGGCGGAGATTGAATCCCGGTTATTCGCGTACTGTGAAATTTACGAGTACACTGAGCGCTTAGCCCCTGAGGTATTAGGGCTCTCTAAGTTCATGTGTTGTGATACAACTGTGGAACCCTACCACTACATTGTACTTGGACCGACATTCACTTGACCGGTACTTGACCGATACTTTCAATAACTATATTTTAACGGATTTTATCGTGTTCAACTTTTTTTTATTCCTGATGTTTCGACGACGACGATGGCGAATGGAGTAGTGGTGCTGGGATTACTAGTGACGCGGACAGTGCTCGCAATTGAGGGAAAGCTGGAAGTACTCTTTAAACTAGGTAAGAGGCATCATTTTTTTTGCGCCCGAAGCAATTAAAGGGCTACCCTATACGTAGGGAGGCGGAAAATGCATTACGCATACCACGATAGCCGGTCTATCGTGGTTATGAGGGACTCACATCCTACCGGGGACCCTAAGTGATACCCTCTAAAAACCGCCTTTGGGGACAGGCAACCGGCTGATTAAGCTTTATTGTGCCTTATCGTGAGCGACCCTCTTTTGGGAAAAGAGGGCGCAGGCGGCTACGAGCCGCTGAGGGAGTGCCTACGAAGGCAAATTAATTATGAGTAAATAATTTAATTTAATTAGAGTCGGCCTGAGCCGCCAGGAGGCAGTTTAGGTCGTTTGTTAGTTTATTAGGCGGGTCCGAGAGAGAGTTTCTCGGCCTGCGGACTCGATAGCGAGAGGGGGGTGGGGCTGCATAAGTAGCTGCCTCACGAATTAAATGGTTTGAGTGCGACTCTGAGGCTTTGAAGAAGTTCTCAGAGAGTTTTTGGAGAAATTGTTGAATTGTGGGGAGCTCTAGGTCCCGATGAAGGTCGGTATTACGGACGTACCAAGGTGTGTTCGCAGCTCGACGACAGAAAAGGTTTTGAATTATTTGGAGTTTATTAATAATTTTAGGGTTGGCGTGGGCAAAAATGGTGCCCGCGTAGGACATGACTGGTCGTATACAGACCTTATAAAGGGTACGCTTGTTTCTAAGGGACATTTTACTGTGTCGGCCCAACATACTGTTGAGCCTACTCATATAAAACCGTGCGTGACTGGTTACTCTTTTGACTTGGAGCCTGAAAGTGAGCCCTGTGTCTAGAGTGACACCTAAATATTTGGCGGTCGTATGCCAGGGGACAGGGGTCCCTAGCATACGTATTGGTGGAGTGTTTTTGAGACTGCGTCGTTTATAATCGAAGTGAACGGCGGAGCTCTTCTGCGGGTTCACATCGATGCGCCATTTTTTGAACCAAGCTCCTAGGTCATCAACTGACTTTTGAATCTTGTTCCGTATGAAAGGTAGTGAGATACCTTTGCAGTAGATAGCAGTGTCGTCTGCGAAGAGGGAGAGCTGAACACCTTTCGACGGGATGGGTATGTCGTTGGTGAACAGGATGTACAGCAGAGGAGCAAGTACTGAGCCCTGAGGGACACCAGCTTTGATAGTTCGCTGTGAGGATAGCGCGCCTTCGTGTCTAAAACGAAAGGTACGATACTTTAAGTAAGAGGCTACGAGACGTACTAGACGATCGGGGAGACCTATTTTGTAGAGTTTGTAGATGAGGCCTGTATACCAGACTCTATCGAAGGCTTTAGCTATGTCGAAAAAGACCGCGATGGTCTTATGACGACGAGTATA